CGAGCCAAGACCAACCTCCATATCAACCTAGCACTCCACCGTACAATCCGCAACCCGATGCTCCACCGTACAATCCGCAACCCGACGCTCCACCATACCAAGTACAGCCCAATGCTCCACCAAATCAGGATCCACCCAACCCTCCACCGTACCCTGTAAGTACACCAAAACACAGCCACCATCACAGAACATCCTCCAACCCTGACGGAGTATTGAGCTCACCCGGCCTGTACAACTCGGGTCAAAACCCGTACCCAGCATCTTCCTACACATACAGAGGCTCGTGTTACGTGTGAGTACAATTTCAACATCGATATATATATATATATATATATATATATATATATATATATATATATATATATTTATATATTTATATATTTATATATTTATATATATATTTATTTATTTATTTATTTATTTATTTATTTATTTATTTATTTATTTATTTATTTATTTATTTATTTATTTATTTATTTATTTATTTATTTATTTATTTATTTATTTATTTATTTATTTATTTATTTATTTATTTATTTATTTATTTATTTATTTATTTATTTATTTATTTATTTATTTATTTATTTATTTATTTATTTATTTATTTATTTATTTATTTATTTATTTATTTATTTATTTATTTATTTATTTATTTATTTATTTATTTATTTATTTATTTATTTATTTATTTATTTATTTATTTATTTATTTATTTATTTATTTATTTATTTATTTATTTATTTATTTATTTATTTATTTATTTATTTATTTATTTATTTATTTATTTATTTATTTATTTATTTTTTTTTTTTTATTTATTTATTTATTTATTTATTTATTTATTTATTTATTTGTTTGTTTTATTTATTTATTTATTTATTTATTTATTTATTTATTTATTTATTTTATTTATTTATTTATTTTATTTATTTATTTATTTATTTATTTATTTATTTATTTATTTATTTATTTATTTATTTATTTATTTATTTATTTATTTATTTATTTATTTATTTATTTATTTATTTATTTGTTTATTTATTTGTTTATTTATTTATTTATTTATTTTTTTATTTATTTAGTTTATTCATTTTTTTATTTTTATTTTTTTTATTTTATTTTTTATTTATTTATGTAGTTTTATATTTATTTATTTATTTATTATAAATTATTTATTATATATTATTTATTTGTACGTTATTATTTATATTATTTTTTAAATGTATGTATCGGTTTGTGATTTATTTCTATCATCTGTTGCCCTTTTTTGACTCGACCATCAGGTTTCGACTGTTCTGCGACTTTATGGGCAAATGTCGCAGGGCTTGTGTTAAAGATGGCTACACCAGCGGACACTGCAGTGACGAGGGTCCTCAATGTGATGGTGCCAGACCCTTCCAATGTAGATGTACGCCCTAATAGTAACAGGGGACATGTTGACGTCACTGAGTATCGTCAACACAGATGTTTGCTTTGATAAGTTGAGAGCTCTTTAACCTAATAGGAAAATTTCGCGCACCGTGGCTATGGGTTTTAAGTCTATGAACAACCGATAATTTCTACCTGTATTTTATTAACAAGCTTGGATATTAAAACAAATGCTTACATTTCTCAGTGAAACTTTGTTATTTTATAAACGTCAGGTTTTGTGTGTTTATTTTACATTTCAATTTAATAAATTCTAATTCTTTGATGACAAAAAAATTAAATAAAATAAAAATCATCTCCTTTGAATGTTGTGTTTGTTCATGTGTAACTAAGTCTACAGTTTTAATTAAATTGCAGGAGCAATGATTCTCATACAGAAGATATGATTTTCCTATAAACTGAATTACTCTTCTGAACCTGGATTATGAAGGGATAGCTTTGTCAGCACTATGCTCATATTTTTTTTTAATTCTATTTAGTACACAAGAATCAGCTCTCTTGTAAACCATCAAAACTTCAAACAGAGACAACGCGTGGTAAAACGTTAGGTGGTAAAAGTTTAGGTGATAAAAGTTTAGGGGATAAAAGTTTAGGTGATAAAACTTTACGTGTGGTAAAAGTTCACGATGTAAACATCCACACATTTTTTAAACTGGTTGACGCTTCCCCGATCACCTCCCCGCCTTGACCCTAATCAAATTTAGGATGTCAAAGGTTAGAAGTACAAGGAGAGATGGATAAAGCAGTTAATGGATGATGGCGTAACATTTGGTAGATGATGACGTAACATTTAGTAGATGATGACGTAACATTTGGTAGATGACGATGTAACATTTAGTAGATGATGCGGTAACATTTGGTAGATGACGATGTAACATTTAGTAGATGATGACGTAACATTTAGTAGATGATGACGTAACATTTAGTGGATGATGAAGAAGCAAAAAACGAGGTTGCTATGACAACAATCCAATCATCATTCAACAATAAACATTAGCTCATGAAAACGTACTTATGTTGTTGTTTATACCTATATATTTTTCGAACGTAAAGCCTTATTAGGAAAGTAAACAGCATGTTTATATAGGCCAACTGTGTTGTGATTGAATTCCTTCACAAGTATCCAATGTCGTCTGTATAATAAAATAGTCGATCACACTATGTAAATCTGACAGGGAGATCAGTAAAGAGAATATCAAATCTCAAAACACAACAACACAATATTCAAGATATACCACAACCAATAGAATGAGCTGGACTAGCAGCCAAAACAAGGGAGTGAATTAGGGCTGGGGTTTAAAGAGCAGATAACCAGGGTGGGAAGACAACTCATTTTGTTATCACAAATAAATGCCGAGTAAAAGAGAGGTTTCTCCACAATGTACTTGGAAAATATTACATTCCTTCAGAGTTCAACAACATCACAGATACGTGTAACTGTTAAAAGTGTATACAATCTAGTCTACTAAATGTACAGCAATATTCGTCTAGCCGCACCATCAAACTGTATATAGCCTGGAGTCATCATCATAATATCCACACCCCTTAACAAAGTACATCATAATATCTACACCCCCTAACAAAGTACATCATAATATCCACAACCCCTAACAAAGTACACCATAATATCCACACCCCCTAACAAAGTAGGCCTACATCATAATATCCACACCCCCTAACAAAGTACACCATAATATCCACACCCCCTAACAAAGTACATCATAATATCCACACCCCCTAACAAAGTACATCATAATATCCACACCCCCTAACAAAGTACATCATAATATCCACACCCCCTAACAAAGTACATCATAATATCCACACCCCCTAACAAAGTACATCATAATATCCACACTCCTAACAAAGTACATCATAATATCCACACCCCCTAACAAAGTACATCATAATATCCACACTCCTAACAAAGTACATCATAATATCCACACCCCCTAACAAAGTACACCATAATATCCACACCCCCTAACAAAGTACACCATAATATCCACACCCCTAACAAAGTACACCAAACCGTATGTCAGAAGACAAGGTCCAACCTTGCCGAGTTACAATAAGGCAATACACATGAAGCCTCAGCTTATCTGGCCAATAAAACAATAGCAGTTACAACCTTTGAACCCAGTAGACTCAATCACAAGTAAATTCTAATTGCTTCTATAGTTCTCAGTTCAATCATTAAATGCGCATAAATTTCACCTTGCATATTCATCAACTTACACACACATATACACACATAATATATATATGCATATATATGTATATACTCATATATACATATATATATATGTATTATATGTATATATATATATATATATATATATATATATATATATATATATATATATATATATATTTATATTTATATTTATATTTATATTTATATTTATTATATAATATATATTTAAATATATATATATATATATATATATATATATATATATATATATCCTTAAGAGAATATTTTTTTACTGACATTTCAGCACTTAGATGTTCTGTGTGTTTATTTTTTATCGTACATTACAATTCTATCGGCCGGGCTATGTGAAGTTCTACCAACTAAACCTTAGATCTCGTACATAACTAACAAGACGGGCCCGTAGAAACACAAAGGGAAATCACATGAGACTAGCCTCTAGCAAAACCACCGGTCACGATAGAATCTACGTCTGTCCCACTCAAGAATGTAATGAAACTTGTTAGCAATCAAAGGGGTAATCAGATACAGGATAATCGGGGATTAGAAGAATATAATCCGCACGTTCGAATACATTTGCATGCTGTACATCTGTACATAGCTCGTTTTATTGAGCGGTTCTCGTACTGTGACTTCACTACACATATGGGGATTGACCAGTGACCCTACTACACATAAAGACTGACCAATGGCCCTACTACACATGGAGACTGACCAGTGACCCTACTACACATGGGGACTGACCAGTGACCCTCTTACACATGGGGGCTGACCAGTGACCCTACTACACATTTGGACTGACCAGTGACCCTACTACACATTTGGACTGATCAGTCACTCTACTACACATGGAGACTGACCAGTGACCCTACTACACATGGGGACTGACCAGTGACCCAACTACACATGGGGACTGACCAGTGACCCTACTACACATGGGGACTGACCAGTGACCCTACTACACATGGGGACTGACCAGTGCCCCTACTACACATTTGGACTGACCAGTGACCCTACTACACATGGGGACTGACCAGTGACCCTCTTACACACAAGAAGAGTGACCTATTACACACATGGGGAATGAGTCAAAAAGGAATAGGTAGAACAGTGATCCTCCAACACACATGTTGTATTGCTACTATTTACTAATCTCGACGGTTTTATAAAACTGAGAAACACGATCTTACAAAGCCTATCTAATAAAGCAATAATCGTTTAATGCTTTTGATTGTCACATTATTGGGTCCATAAATTAAAAAAAAATATAAGAACCGCTGAGAATTTTATCCAAGTCAACCAAACTTGTGTCAATCTGTGTAAGAATTTGGTGTCGGTGAATCAGATAAGACACCGGTATATAACTTGTGGTTCACACATAAGACAAATCCGTGCCAGTTCATTACAGGGATGTTCATGTGTTGATTGTGTTCATCGACGCTCCAGAAGATGAAGTGTTCATATGGAATAAAGTTCACATGGATTACGGCGTGTTTTCTTGTATTCCAGCTAGTCAGCACCGTCTTGCCTGAAGTTGTAGTTCCTATTGTCAGGAAAACCCCGTTGTTCAGAGCACCAACCATGAACAATACAAACCCCAACGCCCCGCCTTTTATGAACGCTCCTCCCATCATGAACCCGCCTCCGTTCATGAACCCGCCTCCGTTTATGCTGCCTCCGAATATGAACGATCCTTTTCTCAACGGCCCAAATCAGATGCCTCCATTCATGAACCCTCCTCCATTCATGAACCCTCCTCCGTTTTTCAACCCGATGGATCCAAATGCTCCTCCTTTCATAAACCCTCCCTCTCTCATGAACGCCCCTCCTTTTATAAACGCCCCGTTCATGAACGCCCCGTTCCCGAACTCCCCAAACGGGCCATTTCCCATGGTTCCTGTACCCCCACCCCCACAAACGACCCTCACACCTGTCGTCCTCAAGAGAATCCCATTCCCCAGCACGTCCCCAAGTATGGCCGCCATCCCACGGTCACCCTCAAACAACCCACCCTCCCCTAGATCTCCTTCCAGAACTTTCGACACCATAGACACCGCCATCCTCCTCTCCCCGGGAAAACCCGACCCCGCCCCTAGAACCACCACCAGGAAAGCCACCCCAGCGCCAGTCTTTGACGACCCAGCCTTTGACGAGCCAGTCACCTTAGCTCCGAGAGCTCAGCCGCCCAGAGCTCAGGCGCCCAGAGCTCAGCCTACAGCAGCGCCGCCAATGGACGACACCGAGGACGAGGATTTGAACTTGGACGGTGTGGCCGAGGACGAACCTGAGGTCATTGACCCCATGGCTGACCGGCCTATCATGAACACGGCACCAACCCTCCTGCAGGATACCGACTCTACCTCCACGACCACCCAGGCTCCAGGGGGCTTCTTGTATGACGGCAAATGTCACTTGTAAGTGTAGTCTAACACGATACTTTAACACGATATTTTAACACGATACTTTAACACGATATTTTAACACGATATTTTAACACAAAACTTTAACACGATATTTTAACACGATATTTTAACACGATATTTTAACACGATATTTTAACGCGATATTTTAAGACGATACTTTAACACGATACTTTAATATGACATTTTAAAACGAAATTTTAATGCGAAATTTTAAAACGGTATTTTAACATCTATATATATATAATTATCTTCTGGGAGACGCTAGAAAACAAGCTGTAAGCGCGCTCCCTACCACCCCACCCTACATGGTCTGGTGAGCTGTGGTTCACGCTAAATGTTTACAATCATAGAGCCGGGTTTAGTGACGGCTACTAGGGGCAGATAATTTAGTTTGAAACGATTTTAAACTCAGGGGAGGTAACTAGGAGAAGGCTGGTTTCACGGGGGTGGGGGGGTGTAGGGTAGGGGTTGGGGGAAAGGAGGGTGGGGGTAGTATTGTTCTTAACGACCTGCTGATACTGTTTTAAAGCAATTATTTTCCATGGCAGCATTGGTACTGTTGAATTCACAAATTATGAATTACTGAAAAGTAGAAAAATTAAACAACTAAATAGCGGCGTATGATATGCCGCGGGTCGGCTCGTAATACTTTAATATTATATTTTAACATTGTACTTTAACTTTAGTTTAACCCTCTTTAAATGCTGTTTTTACCTGCTACTTTACCACTATATTTTAACACGATATTCTAACATGTCGTAACATTTAATTTAACAATATATTTTGGCTATTTTAACCTTATATTTTAACACTATATTTTAACACTGTATGTTAACTCTGTATGTTAACACTAATACAGTATGTTTGAACTCCTACATTAACTCATATAAATATATTATAAAACATATTTAAAATATTCCTTAACATAACATTTTAACACTCATTTTAAATTTAAAGTCAACATTATAGCTGTGTTGTTTTCACATTGTATTTTTACACTTGAGTATAAAATTCCTTTTTTAATTATATGAACAGCTACTTATGACACGATATTTTAACATTTTACACAAAACTGTCACACATTTTTGACACGTTATTTTAGCACCTAATATTTTACACTAAATTGACACACATTTTTGACAAGTTATTTTAGCACTTAATATTTTACCCTAAATTGTCAAAAAAAAATTCACAAGTTATTTTAGCACCTAACTTTTTACACTAAATTGTCACAACCTATTAACACGATATTTTAACACTTATCTTCTATTTAACGTTCTATTTTAAAAACTATAAAAATTAACTAGTTTGTAACACAAAACTAAATCATCTCTAGTTTAATGGGTTAGAACTACATATCTGAAGACCTCTTGGATAGAGTAGGAAAATTCATTCCTATTTTGATTAATGCATCAGAACTCGTTAATTACACCAAAAACTTTATAAAACTTGATACCGATGTTTATTTTTCCAATAACATAACCGTAAACTATTCCATACCCTGATGTAATCAGGTGTACGTTTTTTGGTCCCATTACATATTCGCATATAACACGTCATTCATTTATAAACAAACACAAAAGATGCAACATGTATAATTGTATCTGTTTGCATCCCCCCTCCCCTCATCCCCCCTCCCCTCATCCCCCCACCCCCACAGGCTGAGGCTGTTCTGCGACTTTCTCGGCAAGTGCCGGCGCCGTTGTGTGAAGCGAGGGTACCAGAACGGTCAATGTAGCGTGGACGGCCCCAACTGTAACGATAGCAAGCCCTACCAGTGCAAGTGTACGCCAAAACAGTAGGCCAGTGGCCAGGGAGTCAAGGGCCAAGTGGCCCGTGAGTCAAGGGCCATGTAGCTGGGGTACAGTGTTCAAGTGGCGTAATGTTTCAAATTTGGTCAAAACAAATCAAAAAAGTTAAAACAAGTCTAAATAAGTCTATGCCCAGCACAAAGATTCGACTTTTAATCAGTTGTTTGTTGTTTTGTTTTCATATTTTTGAGGCTATTTCGATCCCCAATATAATGGGATTAATCAATCAATAGAAATAAACTCATAGAGTCGTGGTGTTAATTAATATTTGATTCTTTAATTAAATGTTTTAATTGCTATACCCAGCTAGCTTCCAGTGGTGCGGTTAATTTTTAAAAAAAGATTATTATTGTTCTTTGTAAAAATAATATTCAACGGTTTAGTAATTATTATTTCAAGCAAACAGTTGCCAATGTATAATAAATATAATTTGTAATTGAATACCAAGTAAATTTATAATTTAAAAAATAATTGTTTGAAATCGATATTACGGCTTATATTTTCTTATTATAAACTTTGTTTCAATATATTTGTAAACGCACAAGAATCAACGTCGTCAAATCTTTAAGACGACTGAAGAGGAATGTTTGAAGGATGCGACATAATGCTAGTATTAAAAGCTACAAGAATTTAAAAATTGGTTATTTTAAATACATGCGCTAACGAGAAATACGTAATTGGTGAATTTTAAATAAAATTGATTTTCTTTTTTTTTTTGATCGCGTAAAAACCTCAAAACCAAATAATAAGGAAATAATCTCTATACAATTGTACGACTAAATGTTGATGTATTTTTTAAATAATTAAACCTAAATTTACAAGGTTGATTAGTTCTGTTTTAATTATAGCTAACTTAACCGTGTTTGAAAAAAATGTTCATGCACTACATATTTTGTTTTTCGTAAAACTTGTTTGTCAAAACTTTTCAAGAAATACCAATGTTGCGACCCTACAAGCCCTACAATGACAATGTCCTTAGCAGAGGCGTCGTGAGGAGGGGGCGGGGTGTGACACCCGACCTCACGACGCCAGATCGCACAGGGTGACGATGTTTCGGTCTGTGCAGGTCAAACAGAGCTCAGCTGTTTTATTTGTCACGCTGTCACACTGTCACGCTGTCATACCACCACACTGCCACACTGTCACACTTTCACACTTTCACACTGTCACACTGTCACACCATCACACTGTCACACGGCCACACTGTCACACTGTCACACTGTCAAACTGTCACACAGTCACACTTTCACACTGTCACACTGTCACACTGTCACACTGTCACACTGTCATACTGTCACACTGTCACACCATCACACCGTCACACTGTCACACTGTCACACTGTCACACCATCACACCATCACACTGTCACACTTTCACACCATCACACCATCACACCGTCAAGCTGTCATGCTGTCACACTGTCACACTGTCACACTGTCACACTGTCACACTGTCACACTGTCACACCATCACACTGTCACACGGCCACACTGTCACACTGTCACACTGTCAAACTGTCACACAGTCACACTTTCACACAGCCACACTGTCACACTGTTACACTGTCACACTGTCACACTGTCATACTGTCACACTGTCACACTGTCACACCATCACACCGTCACACTGTCACACCATCACACCATCACACTGTCACACTTTCACACCATCACACCATCACACCGTCAAGCTGTCACGCTGTCACGCTGTCACACTGTCACACTGTCACACCGTCACACTGTCACACTGTCACACTGTCACACTGTCACACTGTCACACTGTCACACTGTCACACTGTCACACTGTCACACTGTCACACTGTCACACTGTCACACTGTCACACTGTCACACTGTCACACTGTCACACTGTCACACTGTCACACAAGAAAAAAGCGTGTGGTCACATTTGTTTCTTGATCTGATAAACAAGCCTGATCAGACACACACACAAACACTTAAACAACCACCCACACACTTACACAAACACATACACACACAATCTACACCTGATAAGCAAGTCTAACCACACACACAGACACACACACAACATTTTTATAAGCAACCGGTTCCCACACACACACAAACACATAGTATACAATCTACACATCAATCCTCCCACACACAGACACACACACTTCAACCACCCCACACACATAACACACACACATACTTATCCCCTAAGTAATCAGTATAGCCTTACATCGGAACATCGACTCGCCTAATTGTAATCAACTTTAATTAACCCACTACACACCTGCTGACCAGCGTGTCACCAACTGTGTACCACGGGACAACAACAACATGAGGGTCGCACTCGTTAGCCTCGTTTTCATTCTGATGACGTCACTGCTTCCACCCACCCAGTGCGGCTACTGGTCCCGACCTACGGGCCGATGCTACAAGTGAGTACTCACGTTTGTCTGCAGTCTGTGTTTTTGTGGTTATGTGTTTCTGTGGTTGTGTGGTTGTGTGGTTGTGTGGTTGTGTGGTTGTGTGGTTGTGTGGTTGTGTGGTTCTGTGGTTCTGTGGTTGTGTGGTTGTGTGGTTGTGTGGTTGTGTGGTTCTGTGGTTGTGTGGTTGTGTGGTTGTGTGGTTGTGTGGTTGTGTGGTTCTGTGGTTCTGTGGTTCTGTGGTTCTGTGGTTGTGTGGTTGTGTGGTTGTGTGGTTGTGTGGTTCTGTAGTTCTGTAGTTCTGTGGTTCTATAGTTCTGTAGTTCTGTAGTTCTGTAGTTCTGTGGTTCTGTAGTTCTGTAGTTCTGTAGTTCTGTAGTTCTGTAGTTCTGTGGTTCTATAGTTCTGTAGTTCTGTAGTTATGTGGTTCTAATCGTCTGCACTGTTTAAACCCAGGACTTTGATACGACACACTTCCACACGTCGTTATTTCATGTAATACAAAACTAGACCTAGCCTCGAGTTTAATGAACGCGCCTTAAAACTATGGCGTAAAGCAACCCACCACCCCTCCCCCACATCCCACATCCCACAAGATGACGTTATTTGAGACACGTTGTGGAGTCTGGCTCTCGAAGGTTAGGGTGAAGGTTGAATTTATCGTTAACATCATTGGGGGTCGTGGTGAATTAAGGGAGGGAGAGGTTAAAATCACGTGTCCGTCCCGTCCCCCCTCCCCCCTCGAATTTTACAATTTTCTATGGCAAATATTCTAATACGATTCTTGTTAAAATTAAATAACACTGAGCTTGCTTGCTTTCTTTTAATTTAGTACCAGTTTAGTACAAATTAGTTACAATTTGTTTCTAACATTTTAAAAAAATATGTTAAAATGTTTAAATCTAAGGGTATAGTTCAGCGTTAGGTTGATGGAAAAATAGAGTTTAAAAAGGAGGAAAGATTCAGCAACTAAGTTTTTAAACTTCTTTTCTAAAACAACGACAAGTATCGAGATAACCCGATTGCTAATAATCACAGTCAAACTCAAGTCAGTAGACTCCAGCTCTACTACTCGACCACCTCCTTCTCTGTAGGCTCAAAATACTCTCGTGACCAACGGCTAAAAGTAATTAATTAGCGATTGATCTTAAGTAATTAAAACACGCGACCCATGGAGCCAAACCTTGTCTATGATGTTACCAATACTATAAATAGATTATCTTCAAGATGTCGGCCAATGAAAAGTAAGGTCAGTTGACTGAATATTGTCAATGAGGTAAAGGTTAGGGTTCAACAACGCTGAATTCAACTGTCAAGGTTAGGGTTCAACAAGTCTCAATTCAACTTCTCCTCCAATTGAAATTTATATCATAAAATTTGTATTGACTTGAAAGCGTCAGACTATGACAACAATGCAGCTTCCCGTTGATGCTTCAGTTTAAGAAGGACATGGCGCTTAGGTTGAAGTTGTTTGGGTTTATATATTCAACGATACTAGCTATACGATTATCTTACTGACGATACCACCAACACGACTACACAACTGACGATACCAGCCATACGACTACAAAGTTGACGATACCACCCACACGACTACACACTTGACGATACCACCAACACGACTACACAACTAACGATACCACCAACACGACTACACAACTAACGATACCACCAACACGACTACACAGCTGAAGATACCACCAACACAACTACACAAGTAACGATACCACCAACACGACTACAAAGCTGACGATACCACCAACACGACTACACAACTGACGATACCAGCCATACGACTACAAAGCTGACGATGACAGCAATCCGACTACACAACTGACGATACCACCAACACGACTACTCAGCTGACGATACCACCAACACGACTAAACCACTCACGATACCACCAACACGACTAAACAACTCACGATACCACCAACACGATTACACAACTGACGATACCAGCCATACGCCTACACAACTAACGATACCACCAACACGACTACACAGCTGAAGATACCACCAACACTACTACACAAGTAACGATACCACCAACACGACTACAAAGCTGACGATACCACCAACACGACTACACAACTGACGATACCACCAACACGACTACAAAGCTGACGATACCACCAACACGACTACACAACTGACGATACCAACACGACTACAAAGCTGACGATGACAGCAATCCGACTACACAACTGACGATACCACCAACACGATTACACATCTGACGATACCACCAACACGATTACACGGCTATCACTGACGAGCCCCCATTGACCTCTGTCCACAGGAGCAGATCCAGGTGTGAGATAGAGACCAGATGTAAGCATGTCTGTAAGTATGGCGGGAGCTGTTCCAGACTAAGCCTCTTCTGCTCGGGGTACAAGCAATTCCGATGTCGTTGTGATTAATTAGATTTGTGGAATGTCGCTGTGACAACTTGTGACAATGTCAATGTGACATCTGAATTTGTGACAAGATTCGCTAAAGCCTTCTCAACATTTTTTTCAAAATATTTCGTAACAAAAAATCTTTACTATCTCAGGCTTAAACAAGCAAGTACTAAAATGGCAGGATTACTTGTTGATGTAAGCAAGTAATCTTGTAATCATGTAATTTTGTAATCATACTCTGTTGTGATTGTGTAGATTCTAAAACATTAATAAACAGCAAAAAAAAATCCAAAGAAATTAAGTAAAAAATGTATTGTTGCATTATTTTAGCTTGTTCTTCATTGATTTAACTTTTCCTAAATGTCATCCCAGAATTCGTGACGACAAAATGGGCTGGTAACGAAATTTAGTGGGGCTTTTTTATGGCTTTTGTAGGGCTTTTGTGGTGCTTTTGTAGGGCTTTTGTAGGGCTTTTGTGGTGCTTTTGTGGGGCTTTTGTAGTGTT